TATTGTTTTTTTAACTAATAAATATCGAGAAAAAAAACGTCTTATGTAATATATTTACTTCTGAATATTTTGACTCTTTTTCTCAGTGTATACATAAATATTTATAGCATTCTCGTAAAATTTTGGGGACGAGTAAATGCTATTTAAGTAACTTAATTGAACACTATAAATCTTGATCGAGATTTTGTGCAAACACACGTGATTTGAGCTTAATCAGTTGTGAATTTCATGGGTCGGTAATGACCGAAGTTTCCCTCCAATCATCAATCCAACTTGCGTTAACATCAACTCGCGACAGTGCTTTTCTTACCACTGGAATTCAAGCGCCATTTATGGGCTGTTCTTGTCGCAACAAACGAGATAGTGTAATTAGCGATGCGTCATTACGTTCGCTTTTCGAGGGTCATCCGATTCTTTAAATAGAGGACACGAGAGTTCTAAGTGCTATCGACGCTGCCTGTTAATAAACTCAAGTGTCGTATTCATGAATACCCTTCAAACTTTATAATGATGAAATTTGATCATAAATATAGAGCTGTGACCTTCTCTCTTATATCTTTTAAATGGTCAAATACATGATTATTATAATATTTAGTACTATTATTCTCTATATGAGCTTTCGGCGATAATATCGAGCGATATTTGTCCAAGTTAATGAGGCTATCGACAAAATCACCATAACAATTTCTTCGCGACAGTCTTTTGTGCTTTGACATTTATGCGCCGATATTATGGCTGATGGAACGGCTTTCGATTTACGTCGTGAAGTCCCAGTCGCAGCCTCGATCGAACAATGCGCCACCGGAAATAGCAATCCCCGTTTGTTGAGCGGGCTTGTACGAACGGAAATTGTTCCTTTATCGTAACGCGAGCAAGCTACGCATTAGATATTTAGGGCAATCGTCCGCCTATACGAAAAACACTGTATAACGTTTGCTTTAGACGGTCAAAATCGATAGTAGTAAACAGATTAACTGCACTATCGGAAATTAATTTTGGTATAATTTGAAAATGTTTCTTCTTGGTTCCCCTACTAGGAATATACGTATGTTATCATATTAAATAAATATTATTTTTTAATATTGATTACATAAAAATTACGTAGCCTTTTAGGATAGCTGAAAACGACATAAAATCTCTACAAAAAAATTACGATTGATATACGAATTTTGCTGAAGTATTTAAAAATGTAGGTAGATATAGATCTGAAAATAATTTTGTTAAATCATCAAAATAATTAAGATATAAAATTCAAGCATGATGAATAATGAATGCTGTAAAAAGTTTTGATATTATAGCAGTTTGAGTGTGTGTCTTATATAATCATTTTAATAACTTAACAAAATTACCTATTTTCAAATCTGTTTAAATTTTTACGCTAAAAGGGAAATACTAAATTTTAGTAAGTCAGTTGTTTGTGTAGTGCCAATTAAATCTTTGCTAAGCGTATATATATTTGTTTAGTACAAGAACCATTAATTTGGTTTAACTATCACTTCTTATTATTAAGCAAACATTTATCTATTGTAAGTAAATAAATATTTACTCAGTGTAGATACTCCGAATAATCGTGCTTTTCGTAATAAAACTCAAATGCAAGGGCACGTCTTGGTATAGTTCGTCGAATCCATACGCGAAGCGTGACGCCGGTGATCGATTATGCAACGGACAGAGTCACCGGGCAATAAAATATGTCATACCGGTCGATTGCGCAAGCGACGAACGACAGTGGCGATCGGATCGAAGGAAATCCCTCGTCGTGAGGGAGTTCACGGTCGGACGACGAGAAGGACGAAAAGGGCGCAGCGCAGGGCAGTTGTGGAGAACGAAGATGGAAGACGCGAACCGCGGAAACGTGGGCTTGGCACCTTCGGGGCATGACGGCACACCCATTTCGCCCATCGTGTGCATTAACGTGCCCGTGGCCAATGGGCCCGTCGCCCCGACTGGAAGTTGCTCGCGCAAAACGTTCCCTCTAATTTTCCCCCAGGGAAATTCGCCGCCGTAATTTTCCTCTGAGAGAGGTCTCCTTTCTTGTGGCAGCTAGATTTTTACAGAGATTTTATGTAATTTTATACGTAGATTGAAAAAAATTACTGTTTGTATTAATTGTGTAAAGGTTGACACGGACGGAAAATTTCGCTGAAATATCTGAAAATTTAGCTGGATATAAATCTGATAATAATTTTATTGGACCATCAAAATAATTATTATAATAATTATTGTTAATACTTTTCATTTATTATATGTATATTTTATTATTATTAAAATAAATTATTTTAATATGATAATATAATAATTATTAATTAAAATGCTTAAGCGTTAATGATTTAATATTCCAGCAACTAGTTTGAGTGAGTCCTACATTATTTTGATGGTCTAAACAAAATTTTCAGATAGAGATAAAAATGAAGTAAACCAAAAAAATCACCTAGGAAAACTTTGTATAAAAAACTTGGTAGAACAGTTTTTCCTTGGCCCCTGGAAGTTTTTTTTAATCGTGAACGAAAAACTTCCAGGGAGATTAAGCAAAAAGGCTTTTTTTTTTTTAGTGAATTTTTTATTCATAAGTTTCTAGGTTTTTTTCAGTCATTTTCATCTCTATTTCCAGATCTGTGTCTAGCTAAATTTTTAAACGCTTCAGAGCCACTGTTTCTGTGAGATGGACTGAGGGAAAACATTTGTTTGCCTTTTCAAAAAGTCGCAGGATTATGCGATAGCGCTGCGTGGTCGCAGTTAATCCCCGACTTTCATCCCTTTCCATCGAGTTCGTGTTCGTGTCTTGTCCGTGACAGCCCAATCCCTGCCGCGTAAGCTTCTTCGATCCTATTATGCAATTAATGTGATATATATTTTATTGCGCGGCGACTCATTGCGTAACTGCAAGGTTACAACATCGGCAAGATTGGGCGCGCCTATTTACGTGCGTGCAGTGGATTTTTACGGTTATCGAGACTTCAACCCCGATCCGAATTCTTATTTTAGCTACGTGCCTCAACACACCGAGATACGGGACGTTTGCTTAAAAAAAAAAAAAAAAAAAATGTTCCGTCACTTCCGGATCTCGTGCGACTATACCGCGTACCCGCGTGTGTCCGTTCGCGACTGCCGTGACGCAATGAAAAGTGCGGAGAATAGATGGGTGCGCTCGCGCGACAGAGTCACTCCGCCGGCATTGTACGCTCGGAAGGAAGTCCAACTCGGAAGCGGCGCTATTCATGAATTCAGAGGGGGGAACTCGTGTGCGTGCGCGCTCATGTACCCCCGTATGAGCGTTAATGCGTGCTACAGTTTTGCGTCTGTATGCGTGCACGTAGTACATCGCCGTCCATAAATATCCCGAGTTCGTGCGCTTTCGAAAAAAAGAGGAAAAAAAGAAGAGGAAGGTTGACACGTTTCTCTCTGCAGAATTTTTCGGAAAATTGTCGAGTGCTTATACGGGTGCTCCACGTCAACGCATCTAATTGTAAGTACTGGAAGCGAGTCACGCTTCGAGCGGAACACCCGAACGTTAACACAATTGGTGCTTTCCAGCAAGAGACACAGTGGGTCTGTTTCTCATTTAATCTGCTTGATATTTAATATTGATTAATTAATTACTGCTTCTGTCTAATCTGGTTCATTTGATACTGGTTTATTAATCACTGGAAGACAGTAATTAATTACTTATTGGAAGTACTAAAAGTACTTAGAATAAAAGTTTTTAATATTTAAAACAGCTTTTAATATTTAAATTAAGTAATTATTAATTACTATCATTCAATATTGGCCAGTATTAGAATTCAGTAAATGTTTTTGTGATTAAACTACACTTTTGGAGTAAGATGTAAGTATATGTTCGATATCTGACGAAAGCGAAAAAGAGTTCTATTATAGTGTAATGCAAAAAGATTTATAAAATCTTAATACATTATTTCTTTTAATAATATAATACTATAAATAAATACTTATTTGCAGTAAATAAATATTTACTCAATAAAAAAGATGATGAGTTAAATCCAATTAATGGTTCTTCTCTCTCTCTCTCTATCAAATAAATATATATTTACAATTACTAAATATTTACTTAGAATTATTCAAATATATATTTATTAAAATTTAATATATTTTAGTGCAGAAATAAAAAGCAGATCTAACACACCGATCATTTCATCTTTGTTAAACATTGTCGAACAACGAGGATGTTGTAACGATTTATTATGTTACATTGTGTCATTTGAGTCCCTTGCTGGAAAGCTCCCCATATCTCTCGAAAGATAGAGCCTGAAAGTTTTGGGTCGCTTCGTGCGACCGACACACAGACGACCGTGGACTTCCGACACCGACGACGGTGTATTGAAGTTCCCACTCGTTCAGTAATCATCCACGTGTGTGGGTGATACAAATTCACCTGGATCGACGTAGCTCACAAAACACGTGACTCCACCCGGGTGGGGACACGAGCGCGTCTCGTGGGTGGTTTCATTGGTCCTACTTGTGTGGCTCAGTGCATAATCGCGATTCACGTATCCTACAGGTCGCGGTTGTGCCGCTGACTCGTGCGACTGGTTAATATGGGCGTCGTCGTCGTCGTCGTCGTCGTTGGAATTCTCGCCTAAATTTAACGCACCCGTCCGTGCCTCGGCAACGTACGACGCTTCACGTTTGTCGTCGTCATATTTCGTGTGTGCACTCGCGAAGTCGCGGATTTTCGTTGATTATAACCGCTTGCGTGCGAAAGACATAAACCGATTCGCGCCTGTCATAAAAATGTGACGTGTGAAGGAATTCATCGATTGAGACTGAACAACGTAAATCGTAAACCGTTTTGCTGAAATTAATTAATCTTAATAAAATTCTTTAATCTATAATTTATCTATAATTTAAATACACTATATATTTATTTATATATATTGAGGAATTCTTTTTCATAACTTTTGCTATCGCGAGTTTTTAATAATTGAAACGTTTCTGAGAGATGATACGTTCTGTCTATTGCAACATCGAACCGTTTCTTTCAGATGACACAAAAGTCGAACAGAGCTACGCCAATCAAAACGGTGCTCTGAAGAGCTGCCCGAGCGAGCAACGAAGCGACGCTAAGAAAGGTAAGAGTGCTTTGTTGTCGGAGATTATATATTTAGGAATGTTAGGCTGGACCACGCTTTCTGCATGAAACACTGTACGGTATCTTCTTCCTTCTTTTCTTCATCAAGCATCATCTTGTGATTGCGATTGTCTGGAACGATCTTTCTAAAAGCCTGCCGAATTGTTTCGCGTAAAAGGAAACTGAAATCTGAGCAAATATCCCACCGTGTATAGGTAAAGTATACGGTGTGTATTAAAAATTGGCACGGTAAATTTCCTCGAGAATTTTTCGGAACAATATTCGAGGGATATTGAGATGCATGCTGGAATTGTATTTGAACTGAAGAACAGTCGTCAGAATGTTCAATTTTAGTTGATTAAGAAATTAAAAAAAAAAAAAAAACTTTTAATTTTATCTTTCCTTATCTTTTCTTTAAGTCAGAATGGAACATTTCGTGTCCAATAGAAATTCGTGGGAAATATTGAAGCTGTAACTTTCTGCAAAATGCAGTACGGTAACATCTTTTCGTAATACTATCAGAAACTTTCAAATCCCGTTGCTCCTTCCCGGACGATGCGGGAAAATTGTAACGAGCCGTCGTCTTTAAACGCGAAAATAAGGGCGCGTCAAACGCACGTACGTGGCCGTGTAAGAAAAATTCCGAGTCGGGAAACTCGTGGCGGATATTAGATAAAAGAGAACGAAGAGAAACAGAAAGCGGAGAAGTTACCGTAAAACGACCGCGATGCGATATTTCCGACGAGAATTCTACGAGAGAAGAGAAAGAAGAAGGCGAGAGAGAGAGAGAGAGAGAGAGAGAAAGGGAGGACGACGTGCGAGAACGTGCGCTACGAGTTTTTCCACAAATTCGCGACATCGTAGGACACTGCGATCTTCCGGATTACGCAACCGACGCGGAGGACTGCTCCGTGATGCCGCAGGGCAATGCGCGCAACCGCAACCGCAGCCGCAGGAATCGAAACCGATGGCGAGCACCTCCTCCGCCACCGACGAACGTTACGGAATCCTCGCGAAAGGCCGAACAGAAGAAGCTCGAGGAAGAGAATCGTCCGACCTCGAGGAACATGCGCGACAACGGCGATGACGACGACGACGATGACGACAATTCGAAGACGAACGACTCCGTTACGGAGAATCCTGTTTCGGAGAATGTCAACCCGACCGAAGACGAGTTCGTTCGGGGCGGATCCTCGTTGAATCACGGATGCAGATCTCGACCGAACGATAAGCTCAGAATCGAGAAGATCGAGCTGGCGGAATCTCGTCCCAGGATAATCGAGATCACGACCGTCAGCAGTTTACCTCTGGAAGCGACGATCGGCCATATCGCCGGGGTGGGCATTTTGGAAGCCGGAAATGGCAACAGAGCGTTGAAAGAAGCGACAATAATGACGGTATCGGAACCGGTGGAATCGGTACGGCCGTTTTTTAGTTATACGAAGACCAGACTCTCGCAAGAGAATGGAACTCGATTGGAGATCCGAGAAGTCAACGACAGCGATGCGGAGGTGGTCGATTGTGGGTCAGCAATCGTCGAATTCGAATCCGACGCGGAGAAGGAATCGGTCGGTGGACAGGACTCCGAGGATCGCGTGGAATTCAAGCCGAGGGATCGGATCGGGCAGCAATACATGCCACAGAAAATGTTTCCCAAACCGGAAGTGGAATCCCCCACTCTGATGTGGGCCACGGTGATGCCTAAAGATGTGGAGAAAAAGTTACGAAATTTCATCGAGGACCTTCAACTGCCGAGTTTCTCTGAAGAAATAATCGAGGATGAGGGGAGATATCTCGAGAAAGTTGCGTGCGACTTCACGGTAGAAGAAAGCAGATCCTTCGAGAGAGCAGTTAGCTCGCCACGTCGGAAAACGAGGAAGCGCGCGATGTCGGCGTCGCATTACGCCAGCAGCTTTCTGGATATTATACAAGAGGAGGGTGACAGATTATCGGAGGACGAGGCACAGCATATCAGAGATTTCATAAACGAGGAAATCAGCAAGTATCGGCGCGAGGACAGGCATTCTATCGAGAGGGTGACATCGACGGTGAACCTCGAAGCGAAGAAGCTTGATCCTGAGAAGATTGAATCGGCCGGCGAGAAGTCGGAATGCGATATTAAGATTAAAATTGATACGACGGAGAATAACACTTCGGAATTATATTCACGCGATAAAGCAAACACTTGCGAGGAGATTGAAAACGTCGAGTCTAATTCCGTTAAAAGCATCGCGAATTCTGATACTGAAGTAGCAAAAGACATTAATCCCGTAACTGAAACGATGAGCGAAAAAATAAATGCGAACAATCGCGAGAAGATCGTAAACGTCGAGTCTAATTCGGTTGAAAATGTAGCGAGTTTTGAAACTGAAGTAGTAAAAGATCCTGATCCTACGACTGAAACGATGAACGAAAAAATGAATGTCAAAGACGATACTCCAAATGATGAATCTTTGGAAATTTTAACAGACGCGACGCAAGCTAATTTAAACCCCGAGGACCGTTGTATTGTTGAGGAAATTGAGATTGTGAAAAACGATACTACGCAAGACAGCGAGGAAAATAATGAAGCGAAGAAGTTAGAAAAAAACGCGACAAGTATTGTGACTGTAAGTGATATCAGTGACGCAGATGTAAGTAAAACGGAAGATAATAAATTTTCGTCCGCAGTCGAGGCACCTGCAAAATCAGACAACCGCGATGTTCCTCGAAAAGATTCCATCGAGACTCGCACGATCGTTAATCACAGCGTATCACGAGTGGACGGCAGAGTTGATTCAGCCTCGGCTTCGTCATCGAGCGAAGTAACCCTGTCGGAAACGAAGCGACCGCCGCCTCTACCGAGGAGGTCATCCAGTTTCGGCCGCGAGCCTCAGAGACCGCCGACGCCACCTGAAATAGACTATATCTCGAGTGGCGCGAAGGTTCATCAGACGTTTGTTGCGGCGAACGGCGACGGACGCGAATACGAGTCGACGAATTTATCCGCGCGGAAGCGTGCGAGTCGTGAAGCGGCGGACGACGAACTGCCACGACGGCCGGAGCTTCCCGCAGCTTGCAAGAGTTCTTGCACGTCGAGGACCGGTCGGGCAATTTATGGCGAGGATTTTTCGTGCTCGCGTGATCTCATCTCGACAATTGTTCGCGCTAATGAGATTCGTGGCCGTATAAATCAGGTCAGACGCGTCGACACCGTTCCGACAACCGACGGATACGCTGAAACTTCGTCCGAGAGCGGTCGATCGATCGCGTCATCGGGTATTCGCGACGATGATCTGTCACGCTCGCGCTGCACCGGCACGCACGTCGTCACGTTGGCAAGCACGACGAGCACGGAAATAACGCGTCGCGAGGAAGGGAAGCCCGCGACGCCTGCTGCATCAGTGGCATATGATCAAAACGCGTCGTCGTGCCGGCAGGAGGGTGAAGCCGAGGTGTGCAGATATCCTTCGGGTCAGGAGAAACACACGAATTCGGAAGGAAGAGATTCTAAGGTGAATCCCGAATCATCGAGGTACAATCAATCAGATAGTCGTTCGAATTTTTCGGTGAAAGACAAATCGACGATGGGTACGTCGAGTTCAAAGAGCAAGAAAAAACCCGAGGGAAAAACCGAGAAGAACGAGAAATCGACATCCGGCTTTCACCGCGAACGAACAGTGAAGAGCGAGACGTCGGAGACGAGAATAATCGAACGACACGAGGAGAGCACGAGCGCTAACCAGCGCGATGGCCTTCGCAATTCGAAGTATTCGACGTGGGAGTCGAAGTGCGAAGAGAGGCGCGAGGAGAAACACGAGGAAGAAACGCGCAGCTCATCCCGAGAGAGCGACACGAAGAATTTGTCCGACGACGAGGCGAGCTTTCAAAGAACGGACGTCCCAGTGAGCGGAAGTCCCTCGCTCGAGGATGAGTTAATCGATGTTCAAGGACATGACTCGTCCAGTAGCACCACATCCTTGAACACCGTGAGGCATCGTCCATTGGAAGCATCGTTGACCGATATCATTGCGATTGTCCGCGAGACGAGGGAGGAGAACTTCAAAGACGAAGTGGAGGAATCCCTGAAGCGGAAGCTCACCTTGCTGAAAAATACGGAAAAATCCGCCAATGAAACGACACCGAGAGAGAATTCGAAATCGCCTCAGCCGGTTCCTTATTCGTCTGTAGAGGATCTCTATCGTGTGCCATTGAAGAAAAAGGTCTCAGAAACTCCCGAGATAGCTACGAAAGACGTGTCGCAGCAACCACCTTCTCTCAGGAAGCTCTGCGTTGAGAGGATTCTGTCGATGCCGTATGGACCGCAAGTGATAGGTGAGATCACTACGCCCAAGTTTAACATCTTCGAGAGTTTGCGGACTCTACAGAGGTTTGTGAGTGACACGCCGGCGCATCGACATGATAACGCCCGACTAAACTCAATGCATGGAGTGAGTGATCGACGGCACGGACTAACGAAAACGTCGGACGAGAGCGAGCGGCCTCGTCCTAACGACATTACGAATGTTGTTTCAGACCAGACCAAGTTGCCGAAGAGCATTAATATTGAGTTGTCAGAGTCAGAAAGAGAGATGGAGACTCGGGAACCACGGTGGCGTGCGCTTGCTACAACGGATCCCAGGCTTCTGGTGTGCCTGTCGCCGTCGCAACAGGCCACGCAGGTGCGCACGAGTGCCGACACCCTGCTGGACCTTCACCGAAAGTTTTTAAACCGGTACAGTTACCACGAGGAACAGCCACATAACGTTCCTCTGCCGCAGTACCGAGTTGAGATCCGTCCGATCAAAGAGGAGGATAACGCGGTTTCGAAAACACCTAAGTCGACTACTCGAGCAATTCATCGAGACACCACGATCGAGAGAGATTCTAATAGCAGGCTGCTGGAAATCATCAAGGAAGAACGAAACGGTCCTCGAAACGATACACTCGCAGATCAGCAGACGAAGACGATAACCGATGACGCCACAGACGACTCTTTTGGGCACGGGGGTCAAGAATGTTTCAAGGCCGAGTCTCGGCCGAGCGACTGGATGAATCTAGCTAGACACGATCGCCGTAGCGCCACTGCGAACGAGCTATTCCTGGCGGCGTCGAGAGGCGAGGATGGCGAATCGAGCGGCGATAAGCCGAACGGTCACGTGGCCTGGTCTGATCGGCTCAAGATTGCGACACGTTCCGCCGCCCAGGCTCGTCCGTTGGCGAACAACAACGCGACGATAATTCGCGATTCGGAGCGATTGTCAGCGAATAATATTAAGTGTCCGGTCGTGTTGAACGGTACCGTTACCGATCGATCGATGGATGCCACCGGCAAGAGGACGCCGCCTCTCAAGAGAACAGTCGATCTTGGCAAGCACGTGAATCCGGCGTTGATCGACAACAAACTCGAGGTACCTCCGTTGCCGAAGCGCGCGGTCACGGTCGATAGATCGTGCATCGATACGACGAGTATCTTCGACCAGAATCCGCCAAGGAGTCGCTTGGAACCACGAAGAGGACACCATGAAGCGGAAAAACTGAAACACGTGGCCGCCGTGGAGATCATGGATAAACTGAAAGAGTTTCAGACGGAAACATCTCGGCGGCTCGACGACGATAAGAAAGGCTCCTTACCTCAAGAATACTTCGCTCAGCAATTGAGATACATCGAGCTGTTGGAGGAGCAACTAAAAAACGTGATATTAGCGGAAGAGGAGGAAAGAAAGGCTTTCGAGGAATTTCAAACGCATTTTCATCGAACGAAACAATGTGACGACACGAGGAGATCGTCTCTCGCTGATATTCCCGAAGAAACCTCGAAAAAAATTAGCATAAATCTCGAACGCGAACATAAAATTCCGATCGACATCCAAGGGATGTCAGACGGAAAATATGGAGAAGATAAGCGAGCGGAACCTCGAGGTCTCGAGGAGAAATGCTTCAAAGAGATCTATCGAAGCGAGCCGAGAATTCAAAAAGAATCTTGGCAAGAGAAGTCACGGAATATAGAAAAGAATCGTACAGAGACGATCGATAAAGTAGGCAATCGGCAGTTTCTGAAGAAGGTGTGTCATGAGAACGGAGAGGAATCATCAGAAAGTATCAAACATGAGGAACGTCATGTAATCACGCAGAAGGGTAACTTAACGAGAACGGTGGAAAATGGAACGTTTAAGCCTCGCGAGGACGAAGTTGACGATCGTTGCACGGAAACGCGGCCGACCACGACACCGAAGAACAATTCTGAGGTGTTTACCGAAAAGACGACTCAGAACGTTGAAGTGAAAAGACCGACGACACTACCAACGAACGGAGAGGCATTCCGCCAGCGGATGTACGACGAGTACGTGCACAAGGTGTTAGAGCGGCAGGAGCGGAAGAGCCACAAAGTCGTGAAGATCAGTCAGCACGAAGACATCAAGCGCAAGGAGGATGGTAACATGAGTGCGATGGCAAAAGAATTCATCGAGAAGGCACGCAGTCGGCTGAACAAATTTGGGATCAATCTCGACGGGAGCGGGACGGAGCACGAGGATGAGGAGGGCGATGCCCTGATCAACGCGAAATTCCTAATTGACGGCAAGGAGCTCCAGGACGTCCGGAAGCTGCCGAAACACCTGCGGGAGTTCCTGAAGATCTCCACGATGAGCGACGACGAGGGCGGTGAGTTACGGCGAATGGAATGGACGATGGGGTTTGCTGTGTTGCTCGTCGTGTTGCGATGATGATTGATGCCGATTGGTGGCTGCTGAGAAAGAGTGTCCCGCTCGGAAAGTCAAACAATCCGTCCTGAACTCTCGATGTCGCGACAAGGGACGCCTTTTAACAACCACTAACGTAACGCGCGCATCTTGTCCGACGTTCGTAGATGCCTTAGTGTTTGTCGTCACTAACGTTCTTGGTATACTATGCGCTAATTCTCTTTATATCTGTCCGCCTGGTACCAACAATACGAAAGGACCGTTGGACAAAAAAAATGCAGAAAATGACAAATAATTAATCTTCTATTATAATGTTTGCCCGGCGCGTGATGTCCCTTTTACAAACTCGTTTTAATAAATGTGATTTAAAGAGACTGAAAGCAACGCGATGTAAAATTCCCCCGGTGATAAAGCGACAAGTAATATTCATTTCGCAGTTGATTGAAATAATTGAAATACTTTTTTGGAATATCACGAATTTCTCATCTTCGATTCCGCGTGCAATAAAAACCGAACTGTAAAATTTAAAACATCGCGCGACTCTTGATTAAAATCGTTGAAAAGCGAAAAATGGAGGATTCCTCCAATAAATGTCATCGCTCTCGTCGGATCGTCTCAGCTATCGCAGCGCGAACTTTCTCAATATGGGAGACAAGCGGTAACGTCGAAACGGAAATCTCATTACTGTCTTGAGTACTGTTTTCCTACACAGCTCCGGAGGCAAGATTAGTTCTCGGCAAAGCGGAAGCGCGTCGATCTATTTACGTTGGTGCAGGTCGTGCAGCATCATAATCACACGGTCCAGATTGCTCCAATTCCGTAATCCGATTAATAACTCGTCTGGCAACGATACGACCGGTCTTGTATAAATAATAAATCTCGTTGTATCGCGCGCGCGAGTCAACGTGATATCGTAACAAATATACGTGTTTACGCCGCCTTCCTTTCATTGCCAGCTCTCTGCCTAACGTGCTGTGGTATCGGGTGCGCATATATAGCGGGATTTAATATTCCGCGACATAAATCCGGCACGCGCGATCGACACGCGTGCTGCTCGTATATTTTGGCATTTATTCGAAACGGTGATCGATTCATCAAAGCGACGCTATGGAAAATTATTGCGTTAACATTCATGTTCGCGGCGCTACGACAGCGTCGCAGATAATGAACCGCGACAGTTTGCGATAACGGATATCAACGCCGGAGGTACAGAGGCTATCAAATTGCGTCATGTCGTTCACGCGTCAGCTCCCTCTGGAGCCGATTATAGTCGCAGAATCTTTAATCTTGTCATCGTTATACCGAGTAATTCAAAGAGATTATCTCTCTTTCCTCGAGATAATAAGATGACAACGTAATTTACTGTCTTTAAACTCTCTAAATTCTTTGGAGTGGAATCTCACTCTAAAAAGTGAAAATACTGCGCCGTTCCTTTTCAAGATAGTGGCAGATTAAATTTTATAGTCCTTAGAATGAAATTCCACTCTAAAGAATTTAGAGAAAGGCTCCCACAAAATTCTATTCGACACGACGCGTTTTCTATCGCCACAACGTTGTCGTAGGTGGTGCCACGTCTGATGATGATAGGGTACTGGCCTGTGGTTCACTCTTTCCTTCGTCCCGCGAACGTCGAGCCGCGATGTTTGTGTGTGATTCATTGGAGGATGGAAATCTAAATATAAAGACACCGCGGCGAGAAATAGGCCAGTCGCTCATAGGACGCGTTCGCCATTTCGACCAGCAGCGGCGCGCCGGAACCACCGTCTTGTTTTCAGCTATTTTCAATCACGCGACGTGGCCTACTGGCCCGCTGGTCCGCACATCCTTTCGTGGAGACTGAGAATTTTTCTCTGTTTAATTGTCTGTGTACATATTATACTCTACTTACAATAAAAAAAATACTCGACGATGATATTTCGAAGCCCGCCATAATAATCGAATTAATTCACAGAACTCTCTCAACATTTAAGCGAAAGTGCTTAAATTTCTTTTTTTTTTAAGTTTTAGAATTTTTTACTTTGTCTCTCTCTCTCTCTCTCTCTCTTTCAAAAGCTTCAGTCGTGACGCTATGATTAATGTAGACGATTCTCTCATTCATTTTGGTAAATCAATTATCTTCACATCTCACAATCAACTGAAATCATTTTTTTATCATGTATTTGTTGCATGCTCGCGTTTTTAATCTTTCAGTCCACTTGTTTGCTGACATGTACGTGTTATGAATATATTACAATAGGCACAGCACGAGTGCATGTTTTGTGTTCAAACATTTTTACGCCAAATTCTTTTGCAGCGGAAACAAAAATGTATGGAAAACAGCGATGTTAGACGTGATAGACGATATTTGACAAAAGTCATTTATCCGTGTGCAACAATGTTAATTTTTATTGACACATTGCCAAGTGTGCGGACATCGCTCGTCTATTACTATTAACTCACCGCGGTTATTTGTATTTCGTAAGTCTCGTGAACCTTTCGACGCGGTTACCGAAGCGCCTGTTTATTTTCCATTCTAACTTTAGCACGAAAGTTTAGCCACAGCGTGTGTTCCGTCGGGGCTAAATGTGCGAATTTAGGCATCCGCCTGTGAATACAAGTTATTTGTACTCATCGTTCCAATTGATACATCAATTCTTTTTTTTTTTTTTTTATAAACAAGTGACATATATTCATAAATCTTGCACTGAAGAATCCCTTTGTCGTTCAGTTCTGGCTTGCGATTTGCTAACAAGCTCATGGCGCGCTGCTCGAAGTTAATTTCATTGCATTTTTTTTATCTGTTTTCTTTTTGGTGGATATGGGCATGCTTTTTTAATCAAAGGGAGCGGCTGCGATGCCATTGCGAAGAAAGGAATCAGGAATGAAAATGATCTGCTGCACGAGATCGACAAAGCTTTGAGAGTCGGCAGGGGATTTCTACTTGGGCAAGGTGCGTTTGCAATTTTGCTTAATCGTTGACAGCATGCATTACACAATTTTGCAAAAAGCATCATTAGTGAATGGTTTGCGACATCATTTGCGAAAAATATTAATACTATAAAAAACTGGAATGTCCCGAATGTAGAATTAGATCTGTTTTCTGTGGCTGAATTAGTACGTATGCACTTTTGAAACTTGAAGTGAGAAAGGTGTATGTTTGATATTTGACCAAAGTGAAAAAGAGAATTCTAGTGTATTCTGATGCATAAAATATAATGAATAAAAAACTCTTTTTCACGAAGTAATATAATTTTTAATTTGGGCGGGAGAATAATTCTCTTTTGCCCAAAGCGAGAAGGAGAATTCCAGTGCAGTCTAATGCAGGAATGAAAAATAAACTTATTATATAAAATTTTGAACATTATTAATTTTACTTCAACGCTACTTTGTTTAACGTCGGATTGAAGATTGAGAGAATTCAGATCCATCTTCCAAGCGAGCGCTTGTATACACACGTATATAGCTCGGCTTGTTGGCAGCGGATTCGAGATTTCGTATTAGAGTAGCCTCGAACGAAGTCGTCATCGACGTCGGCGTAGTGAGCGTCGCGCGGCGTGGCGTCGAGCCTCGTCGGCGTCGCGACGCTTCAGTCGGCTAGCACCTACCGTGCTACTTTCCCGTGTCTCGCCGAGAAGAGTGTCCCATCGAGATATACGCGGTGCCGCGTTGAATAAAAAAAGAGGTCATTGAAATCGTAAAGTGACGATGTTGGAGAAAAGTGAGTGATCGTTTCGGAAAAGTTGACGCATTATCGAAGGATAGCGAGGGATGAAGGCGTGATAGGTGTTCGTAAATTTCTTCAACAGGTAGTTCCATGGTCGCGAAGAAGCTTGGAACTCGCATCTTTTCGAGGGAAATTCTTAGAAAAGGATTACGAGTATCTTTCAAATTATTTCCTTTCAAATCGGCAAGAAAATTGGCGGGAAAACATAAAGACGTTAAATTGAAAAAATAAATAAGGTTATCGACGTGACAGACGATAATTTTATATTAAAATATATCGAAGAAATTTCACAAACAAATAGAATAATTCGATAAATGATTTTAATACTCGTAAATTATATCATCAGTTTTCGAAATACATCCTGGCGTTGATGTAGTCTTAGTCTGCCGTGGAATAAGGCAGTCTACTTGGTTTTATTCTTCTTTTTGCGCTCGTTTCGTGGCAGTCCATCAAGATCGCTTTTATATTAATGAATCGTGGCGATTCCATCGTGAAAGTAACTTTGAAGGGCTCTGAAGACGATATTGGACGCGGTGTGTAATGCAAGCCTTACATCCCGCAGTGTTGACTTGCGATAAGCATCAAGATATTCCGCGTAGATAGTTTTAATGATTCAGATTGGAAAAACTGTCACGGACATACGAATTAATTACTATGAGAGATCGTGAGATATATATGAAAAGAAATTCAAAGATTCATCGTTAAAAATAGTACAATTTACGAAATGACTAGAACCCGAGACATTTTGTTTGACAAAATGTTGTTTAATGCTTTCAGAAAACGTTATGTTCGCCCCCACGTTTAAAGCCTCGTCGGCGAAACCAGGTAAACCTGCGCGAGGAATGTGTGAAGAAAACTAACAGAATAATTTCGTCGTGCATCTTGCATAATGACTGAAGATGCAATCTGAAATATTAATATCCAAACGTTGCCCGTTCTCGAGTAACTACAAGAATATTTGTCTATTAACATATTTTTAATGAAACTTTCGGTAATTAATTAATTAACTTTTCGAATATATATCGCATAGCCAGTGTAAATGAATGATGAATGACGCGATAAGAGAAATGGAATTGCCATCGGGAGAGTGTGCTCCTATTACGTTAACCAACGTTCGTTCCGAAGATGTAATAAAATTAATTACGTGTAGGGTGTAGGTCGTATTGTGTGGGGCCAACGTGTGTTCTTAACAACGAGATTGTAATTAAGTACCTACTACACATACATACGCGTGTGCGTATCTCTGTACATGTATTTCCCGAGTAATACGCATAATCTCATTCAGCAATTTGTCTAGGGAGGAAGGAGCATTAATTTCGGTCACCTGAGAACGTCGTCCTTACAGTATCGGTATTTCGACTAATTACTATTGCCACGGTTGTTAGTTGCGAATAGCGGTGTGCATGTCGGTACACAATCCAAAAACGATGGCAATTCTATGTTTTTGACGTTTCGAACGCTGGATGCAGCTGGCGTCGCGACAGCGTTGATTAATCGCACGTACGTTGCAATTAGTGAAAATGTATAGCCGTTATTGTCGTACATGGATTGTAACGTGTGTAACATCAATTATTATTAGTATGTGAAAATCGGTCGAGAAATGTTCATACAAATAGGTGAAAAAGGCTATATATTCGGGGGGTTAAAGGAAATCTTGGTATAATTTTTGTGTAAATCTTAAGTTTCCAGTTTGATTCAATAACCACATTTCCAGATAGAGAGATACATGTTATCTCTCAGTGATTATATTTTTTTAGAGAAAATGAAAGACAAGGTTGAATATTTTAGATTTTATTCCTAAATATATTTCCAAACTAGTTCGTGACTGTCAGTTTGTTTTAATTTCTGAAATTTTCGTACGTATAATATACCTGAGATAACTCCCAAGTAATACACATAACATCAAAATGATGTCAAAATAGCTGCAAATCTAATTTTGACGCCATTTTAATATTATTGTGACTTCGTTGTTCTATTTGGACTAATATTGTTCTTGCACAAAACTAAAATTTTTGGTAGTTTCTGTAAAAATTCCCTCATTAGTATATTAGACTTAGCAAGCTATAATAATTAAACAGGAATTTCTCGCAATATTATTAAAATAAAAGTTATTAAAATAAAAGATAAGATTGAGTTTCGAAAAGATAAATCCAAAGAACCTGAAATAAAGAAGTGTCCTTTACAATAAAGGACGTGTGGTCCGACTGCAGTTATTTCAGCAGTCGTGCATGTTGAAGATGTATCGTTCGGGACAAAATTTATAACGACTCGAGAACAGAAAGCCCAAGATATATATATTTCTCCCAATTTCCTTACCCTCGTATCCGATTCCGGACTTTTGGCGGTATATACATCGAATTCACGCGTAAAGTTTCGCTAACGTGTCGTGCGCAGAAAACGTGTCGCTCCAGAAAACGCGTCGTCGCGGCATTGTGTTCAAGTTGTTCTCGGCCAATTGCAATTATGCGTATCTCATAATACCTAACGCCGCCCACGCGAGCTTCTAATTTTACCAGCGTCCCAAATGAACTACCCCTGATTTCCTGTTGCCGCGCGACCGCGAGAGATATGGCTTTGCAAATTGGTCGAGAGGTTCAATTCGAACGGGCATATGTGCCTGACTCATCGCAGCGACGATGTATCTTTATAGTGGCTTATAACGTTGTCTCCCCCATCTGACACACTCAAGCGTAGTCACCCGTCAATAACTTCGTTTATGTCACCGACGCGACGTTGCGACATGATGTTTGTTCTTATTTGGACCGCGGCAACGAGTTAATAAAACCTTTGTTAACTGGCCGTGAAAAAAATATTGCTTTGATGCTAGAAACGGCTTGCAAGTCTGTAAAAATACCCTCTCTGCAGCTTCTTTCCAGATTGTTTAGGCGATTAATATAAACGCAGGATTTATCAGATCGTTTACGTCAAAGAGAACCATTTTTAAACGGATCGAATTAGTAATAGGCAATGACGTGGCAAATGTAGGAAGAAGTAGGGAAAAAGATGATCCCTTATGTAATGCTCCCCCGTGTGCCAAGATTAGCATCGCGCCCGTATACATTTCATATTATGTTAGCTGTAGCGCCAATTTACCAAATTCACACAGCGTAACTGTTGCAGGAGCAAAGACCTTACGGCGAGTTTGTTCCTTTACTGGCAGTCTTTCCTTCATTATATCAGACTGATTTAAGACTCCTATATTAGACTGATTTAATAATGTTATATAACACATGAATTTAAAAATGATAGAAGCTGGGTTCATTTATAGGAATTAATCGATCGGCTTGACCTTCTTTTTTAATAAAACTGTTGTTATGATAACTTCTAATGATAACTTAATTTGCCTGACAATGAGTGTTGATTAACAAAGGTCTCGTGAACGTGCCGTATCAATTACATTCTTAAAAGTGAATTTTCGTTACCAGGCGTTTGGTCGCCAGGACAAACGCCAGCTGAGAAGGCACCGAGTTCCGAACGAAGCAAAGAACCACAGAAGAACGAGCCGATTCCGCCAGTTTGGACTCCTGCCAGCGCCGGCGCGAGCCCTATCGCTGAGAGGAAGGAATTTCGTCCTGTGCCATTCGAGAGTCCTGTACTAAGCCGGAAGAGGCAGCCGAAGGAAGAAGTATGTCAACTAATTATATCGAGATGTTAGCTATTTATCTGGCGTAAAAATTAAATTCATGATCGATTAAATCATTAACCCTTTATGGGCGTAATCGTTTGGACACACCTTTTATTTTGTAAATTGCTCGCTCGATTGTCATAAAACTCGGTCTAACAATAAAAGTATAGGACAATTTGATACAATGCTTTATTCGATTCTGTGAGATCAAAAATAAAAAAATTAAAAAAATGGTAGATTTAATATAATCTAGATATAATTTCCAAAAATAATTGCATTATTATAAATATATAACTCATAACAATAATAATAATTTGATAATGTTTTACTTAATTTTGAGGTGAAAAAAATTCAAAATGGTATCTCCATTATAATATACATAATTTAAAAAATAATCTAATTATTATATAAAATATGGTTTCAGACAATTTTTAATTACGAAGTAACATCAAGGTTTTAGTTTCGCTTGATTTGAAGCTCATCAGTGCTGCGCAAACAGTTAGTGCTGATTTTCAAAGTAACTTCCAGACTCTGATTATGAGAGCCCTATGATCTTCTTTCATTGGAAGTTATCCTTTTGAAATTCGACATTTTCAGGCTATATTTAAACTCAATAATATCTAGCAAAAATCTTCTAAAATCGAGTTTCCTGATAATCTTGAATTTTAGAATTCTGAGACCAGAATCGAATTGAGCGTCTTTGAAAACCCTTAGAAAACAAGGTTTTCTTGTAAGTTTCTTTACTAAGAAAGCTTCCTTCTTCAAAGGATTAAAGTTTGGCGAACAAACTTGGAATAAAATCCAATTCGGACGAACAGTAATAAAAATTCCCTTTACAAAGGGAAGCTGTAATATGCATGATCGTTTTATTCAAACCATCTTCTTGCATCGATGACAAGAAGTTCAAGAGTACGCACTCTCACACGAGACTCTGTTCAAGCAGGCGCCTCCGCCTTGGGAAGGCGAGGACAAGGAGAGTATCTCGCGAATCGTGAATTCGCATTCGGCACCCTCCCAGGGATTGAACACGCTCGCGTCTACGCCGCGATTGCCACGTGCCCAGAATCCGACCATCACATTGCTGCAGAAAGCGCGAGGTCAGCATCTGTTATAAAAATCCGTCTGCTTATCGGAGGCGGAATGAATGAGGATATTACAGATTTGCACTTTTTTTTTCCTCGTCACACTAAACTATCATTGCGATTTTATTGTAGAGGGACAATTGCCAAAAGGTGCAGCTTACTTGGAGGAAAGCGATAATCGGCCATTGAGCAACGAAAGACCACTAATCTCTCCGGGAGAGATAAGTAAGTATCGATCAGTTATAATAAGTTAACTAGTCGAACGTTATAGTATTATGGTTATTATATCATGGTTGGATAATTTTTATATGAAAGCCGCCCGATATAAACGATTTTCGAAATCCGTTTATGTTTCTTATTATCACTAACGCTCGCTAACTAGCTGTGTCTAATTACATATGTGTCGACCTATTCTCTGATTGCGTATGCGCGAGTGCTAATGATCTCTTGTGAAATTGAATCGTTCAGTCTACACGCTGAAGAAAGAATACGAGAGCGAGCCGGAAGTGCAGAATGAACCGCCGAAGAAGATGGCCGATCTGGGCCCTCGAAAATTCGAGGGAATCGGACCGGTGACTAGGGAAGGTATCCCTCTCGTGTTAAGATCGGTAGGTCGCTAATTATTAAACAAACTGAAAGTATACATTTTTTCCGATCGATGCGATGAAAACGCTTGGCAAACAGTTGTGCGGGGAAAGAAATTATTTATATCGCAATTTTTAATCGCGCGTTATAAACGAGTAATTATTTTACGTCGCGCGATGCACTTTCTTAGTACTCTCTCGATAATTACTTCTAGGAAGTCAAGGAAAGCAATCAAGCAAAATGGTACAAGAAAATGTATGACTCGTTGCACCGCGCTGACAGAAACGGTAAGTTTCGTAATTACGTGAGTGATTATTAAATAAATAAAATTTTACGCGAGAAAAATACAAATAATTATCCGCGTATTTTTGTTATGTTGGACATACGATACTAATATTATCATTATATTTACGAGATAAATAAGGAATTTAATATTATTTCGATAAATGCGCGTGCTTGGAATAATAACATAATTCCATGATTTTGTTTCCAGATGACTACGTAACCATAAAATACAAATCAAGAAGAGGTGAATATTCAACTACCGCGCATGACTGCTGCGATGGTCGAATTACGACATTTGCTACTAATATTACGCTGTGCGTGGGTGCGCTGCGTAACGCAGCCGCTCTAGCCGTGATTTGTGTAACAACAGCGTAACTAATATCTGTAAAATAAAGCGCGGCGGAGAGATAATCTCTGTGTAGCAAAAATGTATCGCGGCAGGGTGCTATTTTCTGTATATCGGCAACTGATGTATGGCCTTCTGCGTAACGCAAGATAACAATTGTCGCGCTGTACATATACTCGCCGTTTAACAACTGCGCTAGTCGAGCGTGAAAAACAGTAATAAACAATTTGCGACAGATACATAAACGACTACCTTGCGTCTATCTTATCTAACATCCGGCTGATAATTAACACCTGCCTTCTCTCCGGCAGGACTCGTTCTCCAGATTAACATCGTAGTTAATTCGATTAATTGTTACCATTAATGTGTGTTTTAACTTTTATGAGAGATTGCTTGGTTTATTCAGTTCGAATTGAACGTCTTAGAATTTGGAGATCCCGAGAGGGTACGAGCTCTCATCGAATATATCAAGCCAAGTCGAGACAATTTCTCGAGTTGGCGTAAGTTCTTCGCTGTCGCGAGGGAACTTCTTGAGTTGATTTGAAGTTCTCACGTCCGATCTTTTGCGACTTTTGTCTTTAGATTGTTTCAACGCGCCAAATCGATCTTCTCACGGCAAAAATTTAATCCCAAATTTAATTTAAACTCTACTTACAGGAAAAATCGATTAAAATTAAATCGAACGGGGGATTACGTTTTAATTTCGATGCCGAAGATCTCTCGATGATTAATTCTCGAATAATATGTATACTAATGTAAACGTAACACGGTATGTGTTTATGCGTGTGCATATGTGTTTTCGTAACTTGATATTTCTATTATAATGTCGTAGGAACTAAACCAAACGTGTAAACACCAAATTATTTGCGCTCTTAATTGAACGTTATTTGGTTACCAGTAGATTTTTTGCTGGAGCTAAACGGGAACCCGCGAATAGGAACCCAAAGGCTGCAAACAAAATGCGAAAAAACGAAACTCTTGTTTCAGGAGGGAGATATGGATACGGAAGCGGCAGCGGATATTTGAGTGAACCGGAACCGCGTGCATACTCGGATCGATCCGTTACTCTCGATAGTCGTCGACGGCTGCGCAACAAAGAAAATGACTTCACCACGGCGACTATGCCCAGAAAGTAAGCGAGAATTTTGAAACTTTCGCTTGTCTTCCCAACAGCTTGCGAGGATGCTTTGAACCGTTTAAATTTCCTTCATGTATTCTCGATTTTCATCTCTCGATCCAATTTTGTTGACAGATGGAACAGATCGTTTCTCAGAAACGGGCACGTAAAATACGAAACTTTTAAGATTGATTGATAACGGGGCAACACTTTACATTCTGTTCTAGGAATGGGGCGCTGAAATACTCGACGGAGATTTATAAAAATCAGCCTGGCCGCATCGAGGACTATGAACCAGGGCACTCGTCGATCGCCGAGAAGGAAGCTAAAGAGGTACGGCGTATCGTTTTATCGTCCGTAACTCAAAAGTAGACAGACCTGCCTGTAATATAAATTAAAGCGCACTTTCCCATAACATCGAAAAGATTCGGTCATACGACACCGTGTAGAAATTATTAGCTCGCTCGAAGAGTAACGATTGATGGGACAATCGAATCTTCTAACGACGACGGCAATATTTCGCACCGATAGTCCCCATTAAGTAATAAGTTCAATGTAGAAAAATATATATATATATATAAATATAGATTTCCATTTCATAAGGGAAAGTCTAGATATGTATCACGCAAATTTTGGAAACTTTGATATTAAAATATACAATTTGAAGTCATAAAAATAATATGTAACATTTAGATGTCAATGCGCCAAATCCGAAAGGACTATCTGGTGGTCCGCTTGTTACAAACTACAACTAGACGGACTCACAGTCAGTCACGTTTCGGAGATTTATGAGATGTCTGTCATGTATGTGTGCGTATGTGCGGTTATTCCAAACTTTCAAACTTTGCACGTCTAACTCTTTGGCAACTGAATGTTACATACTATTTTTACGACGTCATACACTGTATCTTAATATGAAACTTTAAAAAAATCTGATACCTATCTCTTGAATTTCTCTTTATTAGATATAAGAGATAAATAAATGAAGAAGGCAAAATTTAACTGACCACGGTTGACATTGGGGTGCGCACACGAACGCGAGCTTAAGATTGGCCATCTATCTCTCCGTCAGAGTGTCATATATCGTTATACATTGCGAAACTGATCGAACGTGCAGTATATCATTTTGTATCGTATGACATCAAGCTATATTTCGTGCGAGAGTGACAGTAGAAATTCGTGTAGACATCTCGCTTCCTTTTTGTTATTTTCTTATCGCGATGAACGCGCGATCGCGATAACTCTGAAAGATTCCCAAAGATTACCTGAACACACACCTGGAACATGATCGTTTGAAATGGCTTTGCTTCTAGCCAACTTACGACGCGCGGACAAGAAGGAAGGTAATCACGCCAATCGAACGTGTTAAATAAAACGAGTTGCTTTTGCCGGCCAACTTATACGTTTCCTCCGTTTATTGAGAGCTTTTCTGTTTGGCGATCACGAGTTAATTGATTGCGAGCTCTTGTTCTCTCCGCCCTTGTGGTGGTTATTGCGTTTCTTTAACATACACATACACACAGCGCAGACACAGTTTTCAGTATACACCAAGCACGCACGTTATATTCAGAGCGCGCAGAGCTCCCCCGAGAGAGCAATTACTAAAAATAATGGTGATTACATACATAAATTTTTATTATTCCTCGAGAGAATCGCATTCTTCGGGGTGCTCTGCGGCTCCACACGTAGTACAACCCCATTGATTTTCACACAGCTTTTGTAGCGCTGCTTGTAGTTGATCCTATGTTTAAATTTTATGTCGACTTCCATCTAAAATTGAGATATAACGAACTCTATTAAATTTTTCTGCTTAATTCTGCTTAATTATTTCAGTAATAACTTTTACGTTCAATTTAACATCTATATTATTATATTTTAATCGTAATTTGTATAATATTATATAATTGTTAATTTATTTCAGAGAAATTTGTAACAGCTTGTTTCTCTTTATATATATTTATTTAGCGGTAGATTATCCAACGCCTTTTCTCATTTTAGATGGAAAATGGCAAGAAAATCCGGATATTCGTTTATTCCCTTTTATTTGAATCTAAATGTTTGAGTAACCCTTTTAGATAGCGCATAGTATAACACTGTGTTTAATTCTGTGATTCTAGTGGTGGGACGAGGTCATGGACATATTTGACGGGGTACGCCATTTTTATATTAATGCATAGTTAAATAAGAATTTTCGCCGTTTCTCTATTCCTTCTACTCTATCCTCGATCTATCTATTGGTACTCTCTTTTCCGCGTAGATGGTAAGACTGAATTAAAATTAACATTTTCCATTACTTCGGAATTAACCTGGTAGCTCATCGCCTTGAGGGATCTTGTAGAATTACTATGTTGTCACATAAATCTTCTTTTCCATCTCTCGTAGAATTTTGTCGTAAAATCAGAATTACGAATAAGAAGCCGTCATCTCTAAAATAAATTTCAATTTCGCTCGTGAATGGTCGCGTGTCTTTAATGTGATTATTACATATTTCAAGATGTGTAATTTCTAATCCAATCTTTTTGTGCGTTTACGCTGTTTGTAAAATTATAGTCAATAAAAACAACGATCAGCGATTTTTCTCATGTAGCTTAGCGTCAAACGCGATAACTAAAGGCGGCTTATTGCGCCTCCGATAATCGATGTCCTTATACCCGACCGGGTGCATGCAATTCTCCTGCCTCATGGGAATTTTTCCGATATAAGTACCATAGATTATCTTTCGATAATGATAATTAAATCGGAGAATATTTATACGGAGAAATATCGGGTGCAAAGAACTTTATCGCGTTGGATACGCGCGTCGCGTATACGGTGATCCATGTGTTAACTTATGCACAGTATGTCGTTTTACCGATTGCACCTAACGCCTTCCGTCTTGAACTCCTGTCCTGTGAATCGTCGAATCATCCTGGATCTCGATCATCGTCCGCTCGAGATGATCGTGACCGATGTGATTCCTGATCGTGTGTGTGCGTGTGCGTGCTCGTCGATGTTTTGCGTGTCGTGCCCGCTCGTATGCCATCCCACACCGCTATCCACCTCCCTCTGACGACGACAACGACGACGACGATGACGACCACGGGTGACAGTGGCTGAACGAAAACGGACATCCTCAGCACCCTAGGATGGAGCCTCTGGGCGATGGCATCCGGCAGTCCCGCGTCCTCAGCCTCTCCTACCGACCGGAGGACAGTGTAAGGATACCGGCAATCAGCAGCACGAAAAGCTCCGAGTTCGTTGGCGGCATGAGGCGGGCGCGTCCGGTGGCACCGGAAGGTACGACTGATCGGTCGATCGATCTATCCTGCAAGTCGCGTACACACCGGTCCAGAACCCCGATCCAAGACCGGTCCAAGTCGTCCTTGATCCTACCGGTTGAGTCTACTGATCGGTCAAACGATCGTTCAACTGCCGCCGATGATAATGCCAAAGACGGTCGCATCATCCGACCTCTGGAACGCGCCCCCGCTGCCGCTGATTCCTGCTATTGGCACGCCGTCGGCAGCATGTTGGATGGGAGATCCAAGAGCTTCGTGTTGCCGGATCGTTGCCCGGCGCGTCGATCGCATCCGGTCGGGATCGAGCGATCAGCAGTATCGCCGCTTCCGGCTGTCGCTGTGATCGTGCCGTGCTCGACCGGCAATAACAGCATCCAACAGCAACAACAGCAGCAGCAGCATCAGCAGCATCGTCATCATCATGGTCACCATCATCATCATCCCGAACATCAATATCATCATGAACATCGTCATCATCAACAGTCTCATCATCAAAACCAAGAACAACAGCAGCGACCGCCGCTCTCTTCTTCTTCTACTTCTTCTTCTTTTTCCAGCACCGATCATATCATGCTACCACCATCACCGACAACACCCTCCGTTATCACCACGCAAGCCGTTTCACGGGTTAGAACGGCTGCCACATCGTCGACAAGTAGAGTGCACGATGACGTTGTCCTCTATCTGTCTATGTATCTTTCTTCTATCTCTCTTTCTCTATCTGGCTGTCGAGTCATCTTTCTCACTTCTTTACATTTTTGTCACGATTCTGTATCTCTCTTCATTCTTTACAGCCTGTTTCACACATTTTTATCTATATCATTATACAACACTCTACTTGCCGAGAAGAAGTTAGGCTAGTATTTATAGTCTGTTCTTATATTTAAGACTGTCTTAAGTACAGCATTAAGATGTCGTCACAAAGCCGTATTAGCATCTTAAAATATTACTTAAGGTGAGACGATCAAAGTTGTGAATACATTGAAGAACTGACTATGAATGCCGGTCCACAGCCACGTTTTTAGCTCTTTCTCTGTACACGTCGCGAAACTTTAAAGACACTGGAAAATATTTTTTAACATGATTCTGTATTTCTCTTTTTATTCCTTAATGCCTGTTTCACACATCTCGATTTATTATACAATACTCTACTTGAGACGAAATCAAAGACACGTTTTTAACGCTTTCTCTGTACACATTACAAAACTCTAAAAACACAAGAAAATCTTTTCTTAATACATCACTCAATGCGGCATGAATGAAATATTTTATCACAAAAGCGCATTATTGATCATGATTTGAATTACTGATTGAGTGGTATCAATTATTTTTAATTTCTTAAGAATTTATAATTTATACATACATTGACATCATTTTTACCCGATTTACACAATCGCTCTCAAGTATAATGCATCACAAGTGGCTATTGTCGATCTCCTCGTATCTTGATCCCCTATGTACTTGTTTCCTGCCCCTGTATATCTCTCATCCCCTCCGGGTTACGTCTCATTAGCTTAATCCTGCCACGTCCCTTTTCATCCTGGCTTAGCATTACACGATTGCGGCATGATTTGCTCGATGTCCTGCTCGATGTGATTGCTCATCTCGATTAAAAACCACTCGTTCTCGGATTTCGAGTAATCGTATCTCTTGCGCCGTGCGACGTTTTATGTCAAGTAGCGTTATGTGTAGCATGTTTCGTAGATGATAAGTGGCGATCGATGATCATCGATATAACGAACGATAACGATAATGGCACCTCCCTCTTTTCCAGCCTTTTGATCAACGCAGTAACGCACGTGCCGCGGCCAAGCCGTACATAACTCAGTAAGTACAATGTCAATTCCTGGTCCCTTTAATTCTGCGTGTAATGAATCAAGCTGTCATTCGACGGCGTCTCTCACCGGCGTTTCTCATTTGCGAAGTGCCCTCAAAGAGTCAGGCTACGAGAGCGACTCGACGCTGGTGTTCCGCCGACGAGAAGATATTAGTCCGCTCAGTCTTTTGGAGCAGAGACTTGCATACAAAACAGTGCAGAGCGGTGGTGACGTACCCCTCCATGGGCTTCGCAAACCAGCCCCAGAACGTCCAAAGGGTGAGTCGCTCCGACCCTCGTGCTGTATGCGTTTTAATCTTTCTTTTGTCTCTTACTTTTTTCATACGTCTTGATTTGCTACAGTCAGCACGCTGAGCAACATCGGCCGTGTAACTCGAGTTTATTTTTGGCATGCGGGTGTGTGTTTTTTAAGGTTGCTTGCAATGTGTGTGCATTTTTATTAATTACCTTTGTGTTTTGTCAATTACGCATGCGTCCCGAAACTTCGAGTGATGAGAGAGAGATTAGTTTTACTTATGTTAGTATTATTTTAGTTAAAAAAAATTATAAAATGTTAGTGTTATATTTTTGATTTTAGAATAATTATTATGATTGATTCATAAATATTTCAGATTAGTTACGATGTGGGGGGAGGGATTAAAAAAATATCCTCGATGTTTCGCAAAATTAAATGTGTCGACAAAAGAGTCGAGACCTTTTTTTTCTCAGAACATTTTAACTCTCAGTGCTGATCTGTGTTGAAAAACGCGTGGCATGACGTGTAAGTAGTGCTCTGTTTGAAGCACACAGCTTTGATACGTACGAATTTTCTCTGTATGTGTAATCTCCCGTAGGTGGTTGCATCAACGTCAGTTAACACTAATCGCGATTAATTAGACTGAAGGAGAGATTGCCGTGGGACAACGGATCCGTCCAAGTTTGTGCGACTATTGTGGTACTTTACTGATAAACTTACCGGCCGACTTGACTCGCCGGTATCGATTAATTAATCAATCAACGACGCATCGGTGGCATCGTCGGTATTGATTAATTAATCAATCCACGACACCTCTCCATCAGCCTAAAACTTTCCTTCCTCGATATCGTGTCGTAGCCAAGGCTGCGATCCAGAAGGGACAGATAATCGATAATTAGAATTAGTCAACTAGTGGAATTGGTGCAACCTGACCTCGGGTGTTCTCACTTTAGTTTATATATGGCACAACTCTTCTCTCGATAATCTATCGATATTGGTGCGCGAGCCGGTCTTTCCAAAAAGCTGCTCTTTTTGCAATCTTCTTTTTTACGTAAGCACACCGCCAGCTGCAGTAACACCACGATGAGGAGTGACGAACCCTCGCATCGGCACGCAGTCGCACCGGCGAACCTCGGCGCGACCACCAGCTTAGCCTTGAGCGGGACAACTTTTAGACGACTGATCTTTCGGTGGCAGGGTGTAAGAGCGAAGGGCCTTCGATAGTACATCGAGAACCCGGATCAAATTCCGAAACTTTGTCCACAGACGACTCGGAGATCGAATATTTCCCGATTTCGCCGACTCTAACGAGGATCCGCGTGCATCGAAGAAGCGCTTCGTGCACGTCAAGAATCACTTCGTCCACGACAGCATTCTCAACGTGGCATGAGTGGTCGATATTGTCTTCGATCGATTCAAGATTCCCGCCACAGGTCATGAGAGCTCCTCCTCACAGCCTCTTGTCTTCCGGTAGAGCTCTTCCACAAGCTATGTCGGCGCCAAGGCCTCCTTCACCGCCCCGAAGAAAATCCTCGCGCCATAACAGAACCTTGAAGAAATTATATTCGGAGAATACGCGATTGATCGATAATTCGTACATCGCATATTCGAAACCCAGGCACGAACAGTGCTTCGCGCATACCGACAGCGTGTCGAGCATTAGGTCTCTAAAAGAGAGATTTTGCAACAATCTCGAGCGACATCGACGAAGTCGTGAACAGTTTCATAGCACAATTGTACGCACGTCCTCTAGCAGCCCAATTGCCTCGAAGACCGCCAAAGTGTCTGCTTTGTTCTCCAACACCTTCGGTAAAAGAAAATCAGATCCTTGCTTGTCACAAACTCAATTCGAAGCAAAGAAGTTAAACTTGCCGTCAAGCAGTGCGAGAAATCACATTTGTCCCTCAACATCGCCGGCATCGAGAAGTATTCGTGAATCTTCAGTGAAGCTCGATAAACTCACAACAGTAAAGGTGCCATCCAGACACGCAACTTCTGTTATTACTAAAGTAAGACAGAGATCTCCGGACAGAACAAAATCGGAGCTTCTCTCAACTGCAAAGAGAGAGAAACTTCGTTTGACGAAGAAAGAGCAAGAACAATCTTGCAGGAGGCTAAGCAGATCACAAGAACTTTCCTCACCAGTGGAGGTCAAGAAAGCTTTGCAGAAAAACAAGGAGAAAGAAACGAGAGACGTGCAGAACAAGATACTTTCGTCAGGTACTGTAGTAAAGAGCTCGACGATTTCGTCGGCGAATAAACAGAAGCGTCCAGTGGATAAGTCTCTCAAAACTGCAGTTTCGCTCAAGGGACAGGAAGTATTGCGAAAGACACCTGAACAGCTTACAGCGACGAAAAGGACGTCAAGCGTCCCATTAAAATCTCCTGCGAAAAGCGCGCTATCACAGATCACTAAGACAGAATCAAAGAAGACGAAGATCGTCGCGAAGCCGCCAGAAAAGTTAGTTGTTAGTAAAGAATCCTTGCGTTCGGTGTCTTCGTCCTGTTCCGAAGTTACCAGTGAAGTAAACAAGAGGAAGCGACCTCGTGAGAAGCCGCACACGATCGTCAAAACTCCAACAAAGAAGCCGGAGACAATACGCGTAACTGTGAACGGTGACAGGAAAAAAATGGATGCAAGAAGGAAAACACGGAGGGACAAGAGTGTCGATGAAACGGACGTGAGCAAGACTTTGAACGGGTGGAGGGAGATGGCCGAGAAGGATGAGATCAAAATACTGAGAAGAATAGTGCCGAATGTCGAGCGAGATCCCAGGACCACCCGCTTGACCGTGGAGGAGATCAAGAGACATCAGGAAGCCACGCGCACAGATACTTTCTTCCAGAATCTTTTCTTACGAAATCATCTGTCGCTCGCACAGTCTCACGAAGAGAACGCAAAGAAGTCTCTCGTCAGCGAACGTGCAAAAATATTCCAGGATGGCGTGAGGGACAGCTTCAGGTCGGAGCCGTCCCTGAAGTCTTTGAGCGTGTATCTGGCGCACAAACGGCCAGTTTCGAACTCGAAGTTCAAGAACTGGGAGCGCGAAAGTGTGGTCTCGTCTAGGAGCTCAAGTCCGTACGGGGTTTGCTGGCCCGGCCGGTCGGTTCTTCAAAAGATTGGCAAATTCGACAGTTTGTTGGGCATTGATGACTTCGGCTCGTCCACCACGTTGCGCGCCCGTAGTCCAGAATCTATGTCGCGAGAACACGTGAAGGAGCGCAGTCTAAGTGAACCGCCATTGAAGACTCTGCCTGAGTCCAGAGAGTCTTCGCCAAGATCTTCTTCGCCGTCTCCGGTGAGATCGCAGGTGTCTCGACGAACTCATATTTCCAAGCAGGAAAACTTAGACGCCTCGCTGATGATTACGAAAAAAGTAAGAGCCAGAAGCGCCGGTGAGGCGGAGGACGCCAAAAGGGAGGGTTCGAATCTATCATTGAAGAGCATCGGTTCATTATCGTCCATGGATCGCGAGGATTACCAACAATATATTCTCGAATTGTTGCACCACAGACGCAAATCGACACGGTACAAAGATCTGCGCGACTTCTATACGAATCTCAGCAGGATGGATCAATTAGAGCGTACGTTTTCCTCTGGGGATCTACGACCGCGGTTGAGAAACGAAGAAATCATCGATTATGATCGTTGGAAACGGATTAGATCGAAGGAAAAGGCGGAACAGGAACTGAAGGCGCTTTATGGAAAGCTGAAGAACGTTCAGCGTGACAAGGACTTTCTTTTCAGCGCGAAAGACATTGATAAATTTAGGTGGCACGGCGATTGTGGGCTGCGCTGCAAGGAACGCTCCGTGGAGGATATTTTGCAGTATTTTCGAAGACTTCAGAGTGAAGAAAGCGAGCTGGAATTCTCCAAGAAAAGAGCTATCATGCAGAAGGATACATATAAACCTCTCTGGCGCGGAAATTCGGTCGTGAATGTAGCGACTACGATGCAGAAGAAAGCGAATGTCAATTTTCGAGATACCAGCAAATCCGTAGATTATCATCCATCATTGCAGAGGAGTCTCGGCGGCAGCAAGAAGTTTTGGAGCAGTTTGTCCATCGAGCAGGTAACCAATCTAAAGAAGCAATTGAATGAAATTTACGGTAGCGACAGTCCTCAGAAACAATCGAACGGCGATGTTGTCGATGCGCCTCGTGAAATTAGCGTACATCAGCAGTCTATTAAGGAAGATCTCATTGTTAAAGATGAAAATTTGACAAACTACGAAATTATCGTGCCGCCTGAAGACGATTTTCAGAATCATTCTCAAGACGATTCAAAAAGTCTTCACGTACGATGCCATTCGATGATAGCGACAAACGAATTGATATTAAAAGAACAGAGTGATACAGAGGGAAACTTAAAGAAAAGCGATTCCATTGGGCGTTTGAAGAGCATTGAGAGGTCAGAATCGGAGAGATCGATCTCGCCGTCGATGTCGGAGCTGGAGAAGAAGAGACTGTCGTTGACTCTCGGCAAAGAAGTGCTGGACAGAATGATGCGAAAAAGACAATCCTCGCCTTTAGCACCTCGCGAGACTCGTGGTAGCATCGCTGCTGCCTTGGCGGCCACGAAGATCCCGACAAAACCGTCTATAAAGAGTATCGCAAGACCACCTTGTGCTCCCGACACGCCCAGCGTGGCCAGCACCTCCCCCAGGACCTGTTATTCCCTCGAAGCGCCATATATTGAGGACACGACTAAATCCAAAGACAAGAGTGACTTCCTGCTGGTGTTAACGCCCAATAACGAGAGTCCTAGCAACAAGCAGCGCGTAGAGACCGTGCTCGAAGAATGGTCGAAGAAACCTCCCTTGTTGGCTATGACAGTACCAGTTGAGAAAGTAAAATCGAGTAGCAAGTTTGCTTCGGGCAGCGATGGAGACAGCATGACGGAGAGTTCGGAGACCTCAGTGAGAACGGTGATCCAGCGGAGCAGTGGACCTGAGACGGAGGATGTATCGCGGAAGATCGAGTTCTTCGAGAACGTTGAGAAAAGAACAGAACAGCAGAAGGAGATCGTGCCGATGGCGACAGCGACGACGACGACCACTACGACGTGGACGTTTCACGGCAGGAAGAAGCTACCGTCGTCGCAGAGCTTCGCTGATCTGAAGGAGCTTTTTGGCGAGTCCGAGTCAGCCAAGTACAGTTCACTCGCCGGTGCTGCCGGCAGGCTCGATCGCTCGCGATCGACGTCGCCGCGGGAACGAAAGATCGACGGCAGCTCACCGACGCTGCCGGAAGCGATGAGTACACGACAACAACGACAGTCGTTCCGCTCCTGTTCACGGGAGCGTGAACACGACGCGAGGCCGCGTAGCGTCAGTCCGTATCGCGCGACCACGCGATCGAACTCGTCCTGCAGCGTGGACAGCGGCGGTGGTTGGCCGCGCAGTTCGTCGCCGGATCCCGAGAGGTACTGGCGAGCTTATCTCAACCTGGTGCGGAACGGGACGGTGCGCAGGTTGCGCGCGAGATTCGAGAGCGCCGAGGATCTGCCTCGGCGCGTCAGGATCACCGCCGCGCCGAAGCGCTTTCGCAGCGATCCGGAATTGGCGCGGAGCTTGTTGAAGAAGGCGAGCGAAGGAGAAGAGCGTGGCAATGTCCTGAAACCGCATGAGCACGTCGATGTGGCGTGGTTACGCAGGAGATTTGAGACGACGAAGAAACGACCGCGAGTAGGACGACGAGGCGAGTCACCACCGATCCCCCGGGTGCCATTACGCCGGGAGAACCTCTCGATGCCGCACATTGACGTCATCAGCAAGACAGTCGAATTGAAGGAGCCTCAAGCTACCAGCACTATCACCAACCACGTGACCAGACGAGCGGAGACGAAGGAACTCGAGGCGAAGAAACCGGTCTGCCGAATGCGGAAAAGATTCGAATCACCGGACATCGGTGGTGGCCGAACTTCCATAATGGGCGAGATGTTCACGTCGGCGCCGGACGTGCGTGAACTTCGTGACATCGCGCCCTACCTGGCCGGGAAGTGGGTGGCGCACCGGTATCCCAGTCGTCGGGACAACATGCGCTCGTTGTCGTCACCGGCCGACCTCAGGATTCACCGAGGTACCTCGAAGACACGTTCCTCGTCGGTTGACAAGAGGAAACCGGAACGTCCGCGTGCCACTTCCTCGTCGCCGACGCGACCGCGAACGATCCCTGCGTCGATCCTCAAACCGTCACAGCAGACTGTCTTCGCCGGACAACCCTTCGACCCCGACAAGCACAGACCGAGGTTCAGGTACCAACCACCGCCTCCGCCGCCTTCGCCCACCGCCGTGCGAAAGCATAGAACCTGGTGGCCGACTCTGCCTGTCTACATGGCGCGACCTACCGTCACCTTCGAAGGTCTGAAATTTCGTCAGCCATTTGGAGCATCTAGGCTGGATTGAATCTCCCTAGAGATTTCAAAAGCGGGAAGGAGGAGCCAAGAAATTTCTCCGCGTCTTTAGAAATAAATCTAGTTTTTTTTTTTTTTGGTTGATTGAAAAAATAGAGTTTAAGTTCGTTAAATTGTGCGATTGAATCGAAAAATTATTACCGCCTCTCGTGGCACCAATATCGTTAGATATTAGAAAAGAACGTGTGTGTCAAGTTGACCGACAGGTTCGCTCGGCAACGTGTGTGCGATTCCTCGTTGAATCCCGCGAGTTGATTTTTATAGCTAGCTGTAGAACGGCTAACTATTATTTTAATTTTTTTCCGCTCATTCGTAGAATACTCGAATGCACCCCCGCCGCCACCAAAATCCCAGCACTGCAGAGACGATCGCCAAGGTAATGCCGATTGCAAAGCTCATTATTATTATTATGTATATTTTATTATTGTATGTTCTGTGTGCGTCTGTCCGTTCACACGCGTGTCGCAGTCTGAATTACTCTACCGGGTGTTTTGTAACATCTGGCATATTGGCTCTCGTGGAAACTAAACATATTTAACCAACCGGACGATTTTCCTGCAAATAATTTTGTTTAAAAGCTAATATCTAAAATCATTATAACGAAATGCTTTTATTCCATTCTACACTGAAAGAAAAAAGTGTACTAAATTTTCATAAGTATTTGTTTGAATAATGCCAGTTAAATATTTATTAAGTGTACCAAATATTCGGTACATTAATTTGATTTAGCAAGTACTTATTTTCAAGAGAAAGTAAATAAATGTTATATTAGTACTATTCAAACAATTATTTGTTAAAATTTAGTATATTTTTTCCTCAGTGTATTCAAACACTTTCAATTCTAAACTTAGGAAAAGCAGAGAGTATAAGAAAGGGAGTATGTAAACCTCTTCGAAATGCATACATCTTGTGTACGCGTCGTCGGGTTAAGGTTGATCGATCTAGAGCCATTAAAGTTCGGGCACGTAGTCGACGTGGGCACTTGCTAAATGCGCGTCGTGATAATGCATCATGGTGCATGTGACTCGGGATGCATGAGCGACGCGTGCTCAGGAAAGAGATCGTGCAACGAACGTTTGCACGAGCGATCGAGCATGAGCGCAATAATCGTGTGGTCGGTCGGGAGTACTTCGATGCTCATCCGGCTGGTACATCATTGCGGCTTCGTTATCCGCACGTTCGCATAATGCCTGGTCCAGTTCGAGCAAATGAATGCGAATAGTCGCGACCGAGCAGCTCGCCTCAATGAGTACAAACCGCGTCACTCTCATTAAAAGCAAGCTGTTCATTCGCGCTTATTCGCACTTCTTCGTCTCGCCTGTGAAATCATAAGTCTAGAATCCTCAAGTAAGAAACCGAACACTATATTTAATTTAGACAACTTCTGATCGATCCGCCATATTTTTCAGAACCTGCACTCTCAAAGTACACTGTAATAAATTTAAGTAATATGTAACACAGAAGCTTTTATGGTCATGGGATAACTAAAAAGTGATAAATAATTTAATTAAAAACTAAGTAAGTTACAGTAGTGTTAAATATAATGAACACGTGCATTAAGTTTTTTTTACAAATTCATATAAAATTTTTATTAAAAGTAGATTAAATTTTATAAAATTTTATAAAGAGCACTTTCACGTACGTGTACACGAAATGTACTTTTCAATTATAAATGCATATGCATAAAATATAAAAAATGTAATGTCATGAAATTAAATTCAACTTGTGTAAAAGTTTATTAAACTTCATGATATTTTTAACAGAGACGAATGAGATAAATTATGCATGAGATAGAATGAAATATCCACACGTCTTATTCTATCTAAACAGACCTGGCAAAATGTGGCGGATCAATCAGAAGTTGTCTAAACGGTGACCACTTCTCTTACTTGAGACTCACAACATAAGCCGCGCTCGTCGCGCACGAGTCACCGACGCGAAACGTGCCGAAAATAATATGCACTTTCGCATATGGAGAAATCTCACCGTGGCGAGTCGCTCGCCGCGCAGCCCCGATTAGAAATTTGATATAAATGCGCCTCATGCTCGCTTCTGCTTTCCTGTGGATGCGCGAGATCGTGAAACAGCACGTGAAACATCAATGTTGAATGCGTCACTGCATGACAATTAGAGATACCTGTATACTTTATCACTTTTTCAAAAAGATCGAGCGTGAGATTAGACCGCTTCATTGAAATATTTTCGCAATTTTTTTATGTGTAAAACATTTAGAACGTAACGTATTAATAACGATAGCTAGCAATTATGACGACTGAAAAAGTGAAACGCATTAATTGCATGCATATTAAAAACATAACAAATTTAATAGAACTACATATTTGAAATTATGTTACGTTCTATATTGCATAAAACAGGGGAAACGAGTAATCAGGAAATGTCGGGTTTTTTGCGATAAAAATGATGGCAACGTTTCGATGGACGAGGAAAAAACTGCGTTTATCTGTTACGTAACCGATTGATTATATTCAGCTTACCGATCAATTCGTATAAGCAATGTGTTGTCGCCACAATCCGGAATATCCAACTCAGAAATCAGTTACGATGGAATAATTGCACGTATTAAGATATCAAAGACATAGTCCCTAAATCACTTCATCAGTTTTACGATGTCAAGGGCATTCCCGACTCCGCTAAACAGTAGTCCCGCATACTAATTGCCTAACGGGAAGGTAACAGTGAACTGGCTGTTGTTCAATTTACACGTGAATACGTAGAAGCACAATGCGTGCGCGACACGAAAAGCACACAACCCATTTAGTTGTGTTGTATACACCTATATAAAAGATTTCCGGATCTAATATTATTATTCTTTGATTTGTTACAAAATAAAATAATTGTAGGAACTGTCATGTATTTATTATTATAAAAAAAAATATTTTATTTTTAAATGGAAAATTCTTGGGTCTAGAATAAAATGATTTTGAACGTCAGTTTCATATTAAATATTATAGCGCTAGTATCGTGCATTATAACATCGGGTAAAAATTTATTCTAAATGTGAGAATATATAACTGAAATAACTTTGTATATGTTATTCAGTTATTTTTATCTTAAAACAATATTGCCCATTTCAATGATTATATAGCTTCAATCTTGATTTAATTTACTCTTTATCTTTCTTTAGTTCTAAAAATTAGGAAACGAAATGTAAGTGGAACCGAGAATTGGTTAATTCGAAGTTATTCTATATTAGAAGACAGAATCATAAGTCAATCTTATTTAATTCGAGGGAGAAGAATAGGAAAATTTGATCTAATTTAAATATTATTTTAATTTTATAGTTTTATAAGATTGTAATAAGATTAAGTACATCAAGAATATATTTTTATCTTGTTATGAGACTCTCTCTCTTTCTCTCTCTCTGATTAGAGTAAAAAAATCTTTTAAATAAAACCTGCTTGGTTTTTCGAAATCTTGCGTCGATTCGAGAAGCTATTTAAAAGTCATTCATTTAATGTTACGAAACGCGACATGCAACCTCAAGACAGGAAGACACAGTGCCTCGGCAAATTTAATGCTAATGATGTCGATCGTATCGCTTAACGTTAGATCATACCGCATACGCGATATTACGTGCCGCTAAAATTGGTACAAGTGGCGGTCACGATTATTTTCGACGCGATGATCACAGCGTCGAAGCCGAAGCCGGTTGTCGTGGTGTCCACACACTTAAGTTAATATTGCGCGATATAAATTCGACCATCGCGCGCGAATGTCATTGTCGTTGCGTAACGCAATTAACATACCTAATCGTGAGATCGCGTGACCAGTTTGGAACGTCTACGGCACCACGACAATCTTCGCATCGAGTCGTCGTTATTTCAAATATTTGCCACAAACGTGGAGCCTCTTGTCGATCGTCCCTTCTTATCTAATCTCTCGATGATTAATGTGCGTATTTTCCTGTTCGACATGTGCAGTTTCGTCGATGATACCAGGTGAATGAGATCTATAGTCAGTCCATCGCGCCATTCCTCGCGAGAAACGATACCAGTCTAGAAAATAATACCGTCAGCGTCGTGAATAATTGGCGTGCTGTGGAAAGTGATTAGCGTGCAAAACAGCACTCATTACATTCTGCGATGCGCTCATATCGCACGCGAGAAACATCGTACAACAACGTGGCTTTTGTCAGTGGCCTTGAACGCCTTTTATTACGACGACCATATATTTATCTTTACGGATAACGACTCGAAGAAATGGCGCTTACGTAGTTCTCCCACGAACTTTATGTAGCTGTGTACATTTTCTCTCGTGTATTTGGCAAGAATAATTCAAGATTCTTTCCGCATGGCGAGACGTCGTGGATTATCGTGTGATTTAACGTTGACACCCAACGTCCCAAAATATATCGAGGAGTCTGAGTTTTGGTTTGAAACCATTGGAAGCGTGAGTGTACCTCGTTCAAAGACGTTCTCCGTGGTTCCTGCTTGGTGAACCGTTCTTCAAGGAGTAGGGAGCCGCGATAACCGGTGCCAACGTCGCGGCGCCTTCCTCAGACGCGTTTCGCGTGCGTCGTGCTACGCAGGTACCGATAACAGGTGTCGGCGAGATACGCTGTTACGTGAGTGTAAGACAATTCAATCAATTTTAACAAGACGCAGGCTCTCTCTCCTCAAGACGTGATAATCGTGTTAAATCGGCAGTTCACGCCCGTTTGACGGAAGTTTTGCGTCACGTTACGTTGAGTGATACGTTAATTGCTTCGAAGTGAATTCTGTGCGATCTGATACGTATTATGCGTGCAAGTCATCCGATATTACCGGATTTCGACGCAAATTTATCTGTACAGGGTTACCATATTACTGAAAATCACAGAAATATCAAGGAAATTGAAAACAATCGGACAAGAGTCTGAGAATTTTTCGAAATTTTCTAAAATAAAGTCCTTGATTTTAAAGAAGTTTGATATGCATATGTCACACCTACATAAATAGTTTTTGAATACTACCAACTTAACAATAAAATGCAAACAGTGCAAGAACATTAATATAATATAATAGCAGTTTACATTGCTATGTTGAATTGTTCTGTCAACAAAATATTTAACAGTTTTCAAAATTACAAAAAAATTAACTTGATATTGTTTCAATATTTAAAGTTTTTTAAACTATTACAAAAAAATTCAAAATATTATTACATTCGAAGAAATCATGAAATTTTGTCTGGAAATCAGGGAAAAATCATGGAATTTTAGGACGAGGAATTTGCGACAATCCTGTCTATACAGCGAAGACGAGCACGGACTTTGAACGACACGTTTACCAGATCTGTTAAAACTCGGGATTCGTATATTAGCCGTGAGTTCAGTGGCCGGAAAAATGCGAGAATAGCTTGGCTTCAAATTGAAATCGA